GATGCCTCCCTTAGCAGGGTAGAGAGCCCAGAGGGGGCAGGGGGCTTCTGACGTGTGCAAGGGCTTGAGCTTGCAAGATGCTAAATGTCCATCAGAGCTCCACCAGCCTTCTCTTTCTGGCTGGATCTTACGTGAATTACCCCACCGGCCCTCAATGGCTCCAAATCATAAATTCTCACCAACATAAACAGGAGTTGATGTGTCTAGAAAGACTCTGAGTTCTTTCTCCTTCTTTTCTCTCTCTCTCTCTCTTTCTCTTTCACCTTTTGCTTCTTTCCCTCCCTTTCCTATAGTATTTTTATACATTCTCCCTTTTAGGCAAAAATGCTGCCAGAGTTTCCCCCAAAAGGGGGTGCTGAGGAAGAGGCAGAGGGAGCTGGGGAAGAGGAAAGCAGTTGCCTGGCCCCTCTGCCCACCTCAGATCTGCCACTACCCTGAAGTCTCTCCCTTACCCCTTGATACCTACTTGCTCCCCTCATACCCCCTACATCCAAGACTCTCAGCCACACCCTCCTTCCTCTGAGCATCATGTTTATGAATTTCTTCTTACTCTTGATTTAAAAAATTATTGGGGAAAAAATGCTGGTTTGGTGATGAGGAATCACTTCGTGGAATATCAAACCAGGATTTTGTAGGATTTCTGGGGACCCCCCCCCTGAGCTGGGAGGGAGCCCCTCCCATGGAGAAATCAAGATGTAATTTTAGAAGAGAGCAGATATAAACGATGAAATCGGATTGAAAATACAGAGATTCCCCAGCCTGGCTCTGGCCACTGCACAGCAAAGTTAGCTGGGGCTGAGCGAGTGCAGCTCTCCTTCCCTGGGCCCCAAGGCCCTGCTCACGGACATTCACCCTTCCTTCACCTCCAAATCAGCTCCCTTACGTGTATATATATTTTAAAAATCCAAGTCTTACTTTCAAAGCACACACTTAGTCTCAACTAGGGAATCAACAGAAGCAGAAGCGATTTTTTTCCCCCTTCTTGACATCTGGCTTGCGATTGGCTGGAAGGGGGTCAGCTGACTTTGTCATTTTGTCTGTCCTGGATTGGAGCCGTCCCTATAACCATCTAGTTCCGAGTACAAACTGGAGACAGAAATAAATATTAAAGAAATCATAGCCCGACCAGGTAAAGGCAAAGGGATGAATTCCTACTTCACTAACCCTTCCTTATCCTGCCACCTCGCCGGGGGCCAGGACGTCCTCCCCAACGTCGCCCTCAATTCCACCGCCTATGATCCAGTGAGGCATTTCTCGACCTATGGAGCGGCTGTTGCCCAGAACCGGATCTACTCGACTCCCTTTTATTCGCCACAGGAGAATGTCGTGTTCAGTTCCAGCCGGGGGCCGTATGACTATGGATCTAATTCCTTTTACCAGGAGAAAGACATGCTCTCAAACTGCAGACAAAACACCTTAGGACATAACACACAGACCTCAATCGCTCAGGATTTTAGTTCTGAGCAGGGCAGGACTGCGCCCCAGGACCAGAAAGCCAGTATCCAGATTTACCCCTGGATGCAGCGAATGAATTCGCACAGTGGTGAGTTTTACAGCTCCGAGATATAAATTAAATAAACTGAACTGGCTTTATGACCGGCTTCCCTAGAAGAACGGGCGGAGAGAGTTTTTTATGGCCCCATAAAAACAATCACGCTCGTCTCCTCGCCGACGCCGAGACAGGGCCCCCTCTTCTGCCCCCTCTGCTCGCCTCCCGCTTGCTCGCAGGGGCCTGGCCCCCTCGGCCCCTGACTGATTAGAG